CTTGAGCTTGACACCTCATTGAATCGATGACATCCATTACCAATTCTTTAAAATTGACGGGATTATCTCTACATCGTCTTCGAGGAATCGCCGGACATATTATACGAGTATAAGGTCGCTGCAGATGTTCAGTCAATTGAACGAAGGTGTGTTATTCTGACGAATTGTTCTTTATGCTCTGAAGAAGGACGCATGCATAAAACTGGGGCAGCTTGGTAGGTGACACGTCTATTCAATTATGCGTATTAGGTTGTGGAAAAGTTTTTTTTAATATGTATAGCTTCGTTAAGGCTATTAGTGATGCGAGTCACATAAAATTAATTCTCGAAATTTATTTCGTAAATCATAGTATAAACAGAGGGACAAAGATCTGACGCTGTCGATAAAAATTTAAAATACAATGACGACTGAGAGTAATGTTTATACAAATAAAGTCAAGTCAAGTTTAGTTAACCTTGAACGCTAAGTGCGGTTGATGAAGACGTATAGGGGAGACACTTCGAAAATATCTAAGGTACAAAAATAGGGACGAGGTTTTACACTTGACATTATAACAAAAATTACACAAATTTTGCTTGATACTGTCATTTGTTACAAATATTATCGAACCAGTGACGATTATAAATTGTAACTTATTGAGGTATGGTTGTAACAAGTTGGCAAAAAAAAGTATCTAATAGTGTCGTATTTTAAAGTGATGTTTTTATTAATTAAAAAAACAAAAAAAAAATATATGCTTTTTGAGGAAAGAAATTAACGTTACGGCAAATAAGTCGACATAAATTAAAAGTCTAATTAGTGCACAAATTTTCAAGAGATGAAAATGTTACAGAAAAGCATATATTATGTTAGAGGCATTTTTAATAGAAAGTTTATTTCACAAAATTCGGATAGTTTGCTTGGGGTCACTTTTAATTTTTTCATTTGAACACCCTGTATATAAAATCAAGAAAGTAGTCACATTTTGAATTGTTTGAGGACAATCAGAAATTTTTTGCGGAACAATTTGTCAGCAGTATTTTCAATTTTCTTTAAATTAAATGTCGTTGCAAAGGTTTCCTTTGCTGGTAGTCTGCAATGAGGAAATCTTACTGTATATTCACGTCGAGCCGCCGTGGCATTTCCATCATAAATCAGCATATTCATTCAAACTTATTTTTATTATTAGTTTGAACGCTTTATCTAATGGATAATTTATGCAACAATTCGCAAAATAACATTTAAAACGTCAAATTAACATTACTTGACAGCAGCCTACTCGAAAATTTTTGTTTAGGTTCTTTTTAAAGTTTATCGACAGAATTTAGAAGCACCCTTCCGAAAAATCAATTTTGCCATGAAACTATAAGAGTTAGGAAAAAAGTGAATGTACACTTGTCAATAACAAACTGTTCTATCTAAAAACAGCATCATTTTTTATTTTCAGTAGGGTCGTATTATTATTTTTTATAATTTAATGAGTGAGTCCCATAACTCCGCCACTAGTTGCTTGCGGGACTTCTACTTCTACGGAAAAATAGTATTTTATAAGAAGATGTGTCATGCCAAATTTGGCTTGAATAGCCTTCTTCATTTAGAAGTTATTTAAAAAATTCGAATTTTTTAAAAAATCTTTAACGCCCTATATTTCGAAAATGAAGCGTCTCTGGAAAAAAATTTATACTTGATTTTTTATTTATTTTTTTATGAGGAATATCTCCTTAAAGTTTGTCGACTTAATCCTGAAACACTCTGTACAATGGCAACACTTTTCAAGATCTCAGGGTTGGCAACTTCTAATTTCATCTCATTTTTCACAAATACCTTCTGATATTTTTCTTTCAAGAAAATTCTCTATGTGGGCCTACAAGGCATCCTCTAAAACTGAGGCCCTACCAGCTACCACTGCTGTTTAGGTTCTAAGAGCGTAAAATGATATAAAAATCTTAAAATAGCCGAAATACGAAACATGAAGAGCGTTCGACATATTCAACTAGTCCCTGCGCAAAGAACAGCAACACAGACGACTCCAGTTAACAATCAAAGACACCAGAAGGGCAGAAGGAGGTCATCCGATACATTATCCTCCGATAACCATCGATCTGCAGCCTTTTCTTCTCGTCTCCGTCGCTGATTGATGGCTGCGATTGAATAACCCACCGCTTTGATTTCCAAATGGATTTAATTAGCGTGCGCATTGTTTAGCATCCGATTAGGCATTCGTTTCTTTTTTTGTTACGGATATGGGTATGCCGATGGGTACTACCAAGCGTACGTCATGCCATCTGAGCAAATCGACGTGCCGATCCTACCATAAGGGGACTGGTACGTTTAGCTGGGACAGATAGTATCACGCCAAAAATGATGTGCCGTCACACATTTTTCTTGGACGATTAGGTTTTTACCGTGAAAGGCGATTTTTTGGATTGGAATTGTAACTAGAAATACCCGAGGACTTGACAAAAGTCTTATAAGTCGTATAATGTTGGAAATATAAATAGAAACTGGTACGTAATCAATCATTTGGGAACTACAATGCAGAAACTGAACAAAAATTTGATTTGCTTTTGTCATAATATACTTGCACAAAGTTGGGATCTTGATAGATCTTAAATATTTGTCCCCTAATGATAATTATACATAAATTTACTTGGCGCTCCAGTCAATCTTAAAAAAAAGAACAGAGATACATGAATCTACTTCCACACCCACAAGCAGCCACTGAGTGATGCCAGGGTGAGAAAAAAATATATACATATAACTGTTACTGACATTTTTTGCAAAATAAATGTAACAAATTAGGTTAAGGGGTCCGAGGGAAGTAAGGAGCGCGCAGGGGAAATCCTATGATTTTCTTATGGGATTAAAACCCGCTGCCAATTTGAAAAAATTAAATTCTATTGAAATTATTTGCGATAAACATTATCTATATAGCAAAGAAATCTACTCATATCCACATAGCATACATATTGACTAATGAACAACATAAAAATATCATATTTAAGTAGTTTTAAATTATATTTAATGAACGCATAAAGACTATGTAGATGTGGCAACATCGCTAATAATTGACTAGCAGTTTTACAACCTACAGACCTCGGACATCGGAGATATTGCGCGTCGAATTCGGGTAAAGATGCGTACGCGTTCAAAAATGTATTGTGTGTAAACTATGTACAATGTAATTATTATATATAGCAAATATATCGTATTATCCTCGCGAAGATTTGTATCCTTTATTTAAAATCCGTAAATCATGTGAACTGGTAAAACAACGAGAATTATGTTAATTTAGTTCTAAAGAAATGAAATGACACTCGCGCCCATCTCTCGTCCAAGTCAAAGAAAATGTTGGATGCAATTTTGAAGGTTCTGTGATAGAAATTACATTATTACTCACTGTTCGTGTTTTTAATCTCTATTTTAGTAATGTTACAAAAGTTTTGCAACTATAACTAATTTTTTAGATATAAAGTTTGCTGAGAAATATTTATGTTCCTTTGTTATTCCGTACAAATGCTTTTATCTCAAGTATTACTAATTATATTAATCAAGTAAAGAAAACTTTATGTAACCCTAAATATTGCTGGGTAATGATTACGATGTTTTTATAAACCATTAAATATATTAAAAGGATTTATCAACTGTATTTTTTATTCCAATAAATATATCACAGCTTCCTAGTCTTTTTTAATTAATCTAGTTTTTTAAAAACATTACAAAAAATCATCTGTTGTGGATAATTTATTGTTGATAACAATGTACATGGGATTTAGGAAAAATGTATATGTTTGAAATCAATTTCGTTTTTATAAAGGGTTTCAAATGTATTCCCTCCTTGCTGTCAGCTGTTTGCGACGTTGCCACATTAATCCTCAAGTCAGACAGAAATGCAATTATTGGTTTCTGTTTCTAATTAATACAGCTGTAGTATGTTCAAAATATTACATTAGGTTTACATCAAAAATAAGACAATACTGTGTACTATCCATAGAAAAGTTTCGTGTGTTCACAATTTCTACATTTTTTTCTCAGTTATGGGCAAAAAAGATCTTCGCCATATAAACCTATGTTAAAATGAACAACTTTCAACAACAATATCTCAAAATCTAGATTAAAAAAAAAAAATCAAAAAAATATGACGCACAGAGGGAGCACTGGGTAATACGCTATATAAATTTCAAGTACATCTGTGCATTTGAGTAAACCCGATATACCTCCTTAAGGATATAGTTAGAAAGTCCAAAGTACAGTATCAATATTAATTGATATTACATAGGTACATTTGATTTTGTATAAATAAAATCTAAACAGCATTTCCCACTAAACTAAATACAGATTAGTTTCAAAGCAGGGACTTCAGTGGCGACTTTCTTGTTTACCGTAAACCATAACCAACGAAATTTTAATTTGGAATGATCATAATTAATATCCCCTGAGTACCTATAACAGTGCACAGATAGTATTGTTAAATATCACGAAATAACACATTTCGTGGTAGTTCAAGCAATTTTACTATAGTTGAGAAATACACCATCATTACATCTTCCGAATACAACTTAATGTTTTTTTCTTTGCACAAATCCATAAAACGTTATAAACATTTATAAGTTTATCGAGATTTCTTTGGGAGAAGATTCAACTTAATTAGCAATATGGCGATTAATGTTTGACAAAATATCCATCGATATATCCTACTTACCTACTTTGCTTTATTATACAAATTTGGTTTGAATAATTTCAAAGCACAAATTAATAATTAAACGGGGGATTTCGATTGGAGAAAAAATAGCATGTTGTATTCGTAAAATTTGCTCGCCACAAAAGTAATACTTTTAATCCTAATATAACAATATATTATTTGCACTGACGAATGCATAACTTTATTTTAACGTTAGGTTGTCGGGTCAAGGTATGCGTCGATTTGTTATTTTCACGGACGATGTTTCTCTTTTAAGTGCCTTTAACTGTATTTGATTAATAGTTTTGGTGAAATATGGTGTATTCAAGTGAATACTTACTTGAAGCGGATATTTCGAGGGTCGCCTTTCTTTCTTCGGTTCTAATTCCAATTTCTGCGAAAGGCACATGCTTATAAACGCCAAGACCAACGTCACCCTACAACAAAACAAAAAAAACGATAACAACTTTTTTATATTTTTCATCGATATTAAAAATAGATTATTTATAGTTCTCCTTTATAAAACTAAGTATTTAAATTTAGTACCGTTTAAATATATATTTTTCGTTTGTTATAAAAAGTTTGAGATACGCCACTGGTGATATCACTTAACCAGATCATTTCTGTAATAGATTTATCCGACTAGGTAAAACGTTTCTGGTGAAAGGGACATAAAAACTCTCCCACTTGTTTAAATTTGATAGAAACGGTTTGATGTGGGATTTATTCGCTTTTAGTTATACGACTTAAAAATTTGTTTAATCCATTTGATGATGATAGATGAACATTCCGGTTGGATATACTGAAAGCTTGGAATAGTTTCATTCCTAAAACGATTATCGAAAAGTAAGGAAAGTGGATTAATATTTTCTTTTCTGATTTTAAGAGAGGTATTAAAAGCTAGTAAAAAAAACATTTTCTAATTAATTTAGACTTGGTATTATCCGGTAAAGACAAATTCCTCATCATCTACAGTGTTCACAAAGTTGACATATTTTTAATAGTTGTTGTTGAATGCAGATATCGTAAAAGCTATAGTTATAATATTAAATAACACTTTGAGTTGAGAATCTCATATAGATACTCTCTCTAAAAAACTTGCAACTGTTTGTTTTGCATTATATAGACTTAGATATATTGTTAATAAGTCGGTGCTGTTATCCTATTATTATGCGCATTGCTTTTCAAGGCTTAAATACGAGATAATTTTTTGGGGTTCATCTAGTTTTGTTAGCAGGGCTTTTATAATGCAAAAGAGAGCAATTACAAATATTTTATTGCTAAGCCCATGGGAGTCTTGTAGATCTAAATTTAAAGATTTAAAGCTACTGCCGCTTCCATGTAGGTATTTATATTCTAGAATTACTGTTGTATGTAAAAACTAATATTAACGATTTCAGAATGAATAATTTTTATCATAATTATCTGATGAGATCTCGTCATGATTTGATTGTTCCTATACATAGTTTGACTTTCTTTGAAAAGAGTCGGCAATACATGGGGATTATATTGTATAACAAGTTGCCGAATAGAATAAAATTGATATACAGGGTGTTAAAAAAAAAGTGTAAAATATTTCAGGAGGTAATAGTATGAACCAAAATAAGCAGAAAAGTCTTAATAGACATGGGTAACGGTTGCGGAGATATGGACCACTATTCGTATTTCAAACATTTTATTTTATTAGGAATAAACCGACAAAGGAAGCTTTTAACAAACAAAAAACAAAGTTACAGAAGATGTTCAAAGTGCCCTCCGTTCATTTCCAAGCAGGCACGACATCTTCGTCTCGACGATATTCGAACTCTTTCGAAAACACCNACCACTTTAAACGCTTTTTAAAACGAAAATATTCAAATTGATAGCGGCGATATAGCGCTTTGACAGATGACGTTTAAGTTCATTTGCTATACGCTACGCCCTACGTCCAAATTTTCAGAACCAACTTGACCACGTTTTTATTTGAACGCTCGTTAGATACTCTCTGTAAAAAACTTGCAACTGTTTGTTTTGCATTATATAGACTTAGATATATTGTTAATAAGTCGGTGCTGTTATCCTATTATTATGCCCATTGCTTTTCAAGGCTTAAATACGAGATAATTTTTGGGGTTCATCTAGTTTTGTTAGCAGGGCTTTTATAATGCAAAAGAGAGCAATTAGAAATATTTTATTGCTAAGCCCAAGGGAGTCTTGTAGATCTAAATTTAAAGATTTAAAGCTACTGTCGCTTCCATGTATTTATATTCTAGAATTACTGTTGTATGTAAAAACTAATATTAACGATTTCAGAATGAATAATTTTTATCATAATTATCTGACGAGATCTCGTCATGATTTGATTGTTCCTATACATAGTTTGACTTTCTTTGAAAAGAGTCCGCAATACATGGGGATTATATTGTATAACAAGTTGCCGAATAGAATAAAATTGATATATAATCTAAAAATTTATAAGCGGGAAGTTGAGATTTTGTTAATGGAACATTGCTTCTATTCTGTACACGAATATCTATCTAGTATATTGATTTAATTTTATATTTTCTACTTTATCTACATCTTATTTGTATTTTATTGTCATTTTCTTCTGTATGTATGTTATATTTTTATATGTAAGTCTTTAGGTACATTTATATTTGTAATTTGCCATTTTTACCACCTATTTTGACGTGTCCCATGTCATTTCAATGATCTTATGGACAATAAANATAGCATTTGCGGATAAATTCAATCTATTTCATAATAGTCAGCATGGTTTCAGAGCTGGTAGGTCCACGCAGTCGGCAGTTATGAGTTTTTTAAATGATCTATATTTTAATGTTAATAATAGTAAAAAATGTCTGGGAATCTTTATGGACCTCAGTAAAGCATTTGACCTTGTTAATCACGGCATACTAAATGAGAAGTTATATAAATATGGATTTAGAGGTAAACTTGGTGACTGGCTCAAATCCTATTTATCTGAGAGGAAGCAACTTACAGAGGTTAATAACTTCTGTTCAAAACCTGAGCCTATTACTTGCGGAGTTCCCCAGGGGTCAGTTTTGGGGCCCTTATTATTTATAATATATGTCAATGATTTGGTGTGTAGTGTTAGCAATGGAAGTCTTGTACTTTTTGCTGATGATACCTCATATTTGGTGTCTGAATATGATTACATTAGATTAACAAATACAGCTCAATCAAAGTTAAATGACCTTTGTAATTGGTTCAGAAAGAATCATCTTATTATGAACAAAGATAAAACTGTTATTATGAATTTTACTCCTAGAGTCAACAGTACGAATTTTAGTCATCTGCTTAGAATCGATCAAAGATCCATAAAACAGGTGCAAGAAACCAAATTTTTGGGTTTGTATTTAAACAACACTTTGAGTTGGGAATCTCATATAGATACTCTCTGTAAAAAGCTTGCAACTGTTTGTTTTGCATTGTATAGACTTAGATATATTGTTAATAAGTCAGTGCTGTTATCCTATTATTATGCGCATTGCTTTTCAAGGCTTAAATACGGGATAATTTTTTGGGGTTCATCTAGTTTTGTTAGCAGGGCTTTTATAATGCAAAAGAGAGCAATTAGAAATATTTTATTGCTAAGCCCAAGGGAGTCTTGTAGATCTAAATTTAAAGATTTAAAGCTACTGTCGCTTCCATGTATTTATATTCTAGAATTACTGTTGTATGTAAAAACTAATATTAACGATTTCAGAATGAATAATTTTTATCATAATTATCTGACGAGATCTCGTCATGATTTGATTGTTCCTATACATAGTTTGACTTTCTTTGAAAAGAGTCCGCAATACATGGGGATTATATTGTATAACAAGTTGCCGAATAGAATAAAATTGATATATAATCTAAAAATTTATAAGCGGGAAGTTGAGATTTTGTCAATGGAACATTGCTTCTATTCTGTACACGAATATCTATCTAGTATATTGATTTAATTTTATATTTTCTACTTTATCTACATCTTATTTGTATTTTATTGTCATTTTCTTCTGTATGTATGTTATATTTTTATATGTAAGTCTTTAGGTACATTTATATTTGTATTTTGCCATTTTTACCACCTATTTTGACGTGTCCCATGTCATTGCAATGATCTTATGGACAATAAAATTATTATTATTATTATTATTACTTCAACAACTTTATTGGCCAATAAAGGTGCTGTTCTTACAACCATCAAACGGCATGGTGGATGGAAGAGCTCCTCTGTAGCAGAAAGTTATGTTGAGGAGTCTATATCTAACACAACTTGATATTGCAAGGAAAATCCAAGGAAAATATAGTTTCTTACAAGAAGAGACATCTGTGACTTGTGCAAATTCTTGACAAACTTCGGTAGATGTTATATGTATTCCAAAAATGATGGCAACAATGCTACAAGAGTTGCTATTAACGGAAAGGAAATTAAATGTGATAAAACAAAAAACGAAATGTAGGTTACTATAAATGAAAATGTTAATGTTAATAAGTAAATAAATTAAATTTGAATTATTATAAGTTTATTATTTTTTCATTATTCTACTAGTGAAATAAAGTTACTTTGTTCCATTAGTGGAGAAAAGTCCGCTATTTCAAATCAAGTGTTTTCTTAGCGTGGGTATAATTATTTTCAGACAGAAATAATTAATAACTGTTGTCAGAAAGTTCGTTACTAATTTTTACACTAAACTGGAAGTTCCTTTGTTATGACATAGGCATCGTAAAAGCTGAAAATAAAACGCTGAGAAGTTGATTATGTTGGCGATGACAGAAGCAAAAATATATCGCAGAGACTTCAGAAAAGCCGGTGTCTGTGAAAATGCCCGCTTTGCCTGCGCCCTGAAAAATGTGCTCTTCGTATATCCACAAAAAATAAACAGGAACGTCATTAAACTGTATGCCTTACACCTTGAAAGAAAACGAAAAGGTTGGATACCAGTAAATTCAGGCAACAATAAATACTCCCGATCAAAAAAGCAAGCTCTTGGAGTTAATAAAATTTTAGTAAATCCAACTGCTCGGATTGTATATTTTTTTATGAACAAATAGTTCGTTTCGTTCAGTTTGGAATAGGAGCTATTAATATCTACAATTGCAACTAATCCGAAGGTCAATCTATTTTAAGAATATTCCTAATTTTTTTATTTCGAAGCGCCATGGAATTTCTATTAGACTAATAAATCACTTCAGTGTGGTAGTCGAGCAAACAAAAATTTATACACTCCGAATAAACGTTCTTAAATTACCATACAGGAATTCTCATATACAGAGGGTTCAGTTTATATTCGGCCAAACGTCAGTAACCGGCTATAAGATGAAAGGGGGAAGTTCAAATAAAATTTTGTCGAAAAATGTTGAAGGTGAAACAATTGTTACTATTTTCGGGCGTATTTCGAAAATTCGTTAGAAATTTGTTTCTAATCTACGTAGACCTTTTATAAAACATAAATGTTTCGCCATTGAGCAAAGCAGATATTTTTTCCTTAGAAAAACATCGTATAACTAACATTCCGATAGGTCGTCTAGATTTTCGTAGACAGTAAAAAAAGTGAAAAAAAACACGTATATAGTGGAGTCAAGATAGCTTAAAATTACGCATTATTTCGAAATAATTATGGGAAGCATGGATTTTCCTAAAACCTTTTGAAATTACTTGGAGATAAGTATTAGAAAAAAGTTATAAACTAATTTTTGTACGCTAATTGTTTAAACAATAATTAATAGTTTTTTAAGAACATTTAAAATAATTCAATGAATTTTAAATCGAATTCTTTCAAATTGGCAACATAGGGGTTTCCGATGTCGCTGAACAAGAATATGATGTCGGAAAATGAAAATTATCATTATCATAATTATTAACAATTATTAAAAATGAAAATTATAAATGGCTACAGAGGTTTTATTGAAAATATTTTTTATTTTTTAAAAAACAAATTTATTACAAAATAATTAATTTTTAAATCTCATCGAGTTCTTGCTCTTCTTCGTCCCCTATTATTTATTTATTCATTAATTATTTTAAAAATGGATCAATATTCATATATAAATATTAAACTCGTACATACAGGTTTAGCATAAAAGAAAACGAATATAAATACCTTGAATACAAACTGAAGATTATTTGTAATATTAAGTAATAATATTACATTAAAAAATTGCAAGTGTACGAGAGTATTAACCTCAAAATTAACAAAATATGTGAATAATACACTTTTAAGACACTGATAACTGCAGCTTACTCGAAAACATAAAAATCATATTCTTATACCATTTATAATAATTATTATTTAATTCTTATAAACGAAATACGCTTTTAAAATAAATAAAAGTGATTAGACTCATATCTGTGTCTACATCAATAAGAGAACTTATATTCACAATTTCAGATAGAATATACGTTTTAAAAATGAATATTAAATCAATTCATTAAAAAAAGTTATTTTTTGCTGTTATAACAATTTTTCACTTATTACTATAAATAAACAAATTTTTTCGCTGAATTTACTTTTTTTAAGGTTTTAACTTAATTCTTTGATGGTTTATTAAACAAAAAAAAAATTTTTTTTGTACATTATTAAACTTTATTTAACAATAAATTTCACGGATTTTTCATGAAATATTTTTATTTTTTGTTATTTTTTGTTTTTTCAACTATTATTTCAATTTTTTAAGAAAAATAAAATGCACCATCTTAAAGTAGAGATTTTAAGCTTTAAAAAGTGCTCTCATAAAGTTTCAATATCACATTTACAACTATAGTTTTTGATCTATAAAGTATGGCCTAAAAAGTCAAATTTGTGATTTTTTAAAATTATTGAATATGTTGGGCTCAATATTTTTCAAATTAATTTTTTAAGATTTTTTCCATATCGCTCACTGTTTCAATTGTCATTTGAAGAGTAATCTGTGAAAGTTACAGATATTTATTTTAAAAATTAAAAGAATGACAGCTATTTTATTATTATTGTACAAAATTATAGAATGACGTAACTTTGTACGTATGTACTATATATTTTTTTTTCTCAAGTTTAAAGACATAAAATTCTGATAGCCGGATGACTCTTCTTTTATTTAAATTTTTGTGAGGTCGATTTGATCAATTAGATCAAAAGTTATAACAAATTTAGTGTAGCGCGTTCGGGGCCGCCCGTCTCATTTTTCGTACGTTAGAAAAAAAATTCTACAACTTTCAATTCGCATTTTAGAAAAATACTTTATTAACATTTTTTATGTAAAATTCTTTCGAATGGCGCAGTTACTTTTTTAGAAAATTATATTTTTTTATATATTTTGCAAAAACTGTAATTTTGCAACTAATTTGTTAAATAAATAATTTAGCGTACACTCTACTATTGGTAACTTTTTATATGTTGTTTCTGACAACTTTACAAAGCGAAAAATAAAAAGTTCTCTCTTCCCGTAATGGTGTACAAAATTATAGAATGACGTAGCTTTCTACGTATGTACTATATATTTTTTTTTCTCAAGTTTAAAGACATAAAATTTTGATAGCCGGATGACTCTTCTTTTATTTAAATTTTTGTGAGGTCGATTTGATCAATTAGATCAAAAGTTATAACAAATTTAGTGTAGCGTGCTTGGGGCCGCGCGCTTTTCGAGAGCTATACTTGGGGGCCGCCCGTCTCATTTTTCGTACGTTAGAAAAAAAATTCTACAGCCTTCAATTCGCATTTTAGAAAAAAACTTTATTAACATTTTTTATGTAAAATTTCCTGTTTTTTCGAATGGCGCAGTTAATTTTTTTTAAATTAATTTTTTTTATATATTTTGCAAAAACTGTAATTTTGCAACTAATTTCTTAAATAAATAATCTAGCGTACACTCTACAGTTGGTAACTTTTTATATGTTGTTTCTGACAACTTTACAAAGCGAAAAATAAAAAGTTCTCTCTTCCAGTAATTTTCGCGAAGTCAAAATCTATCTTGACTCCACTAGCAAAGCCAGCTTAGCATCACTTCTTTCGAGTTACTTTTTTCATATTATCATTCTATACACCCTTCTAATAAAATGTGTACTAATAATATTTTCAGGTTTTATGATCTAATTTGACTAGAGTACTGTGGACAGTGAGAAAATTCAACAGACACGCTCAAGATTGATTGTTATCCTACAGTTTTCTTTTCTTGGCGTGAATTGAGCGGTACAATCTTAAGAGGAGGGTCATCCAGCTTCTTCGATTTAATTTAGAAAATAAACAAAACAAATCGTAACACTACGACCCCATATAACGCCTTCAACGCTGCCGTCATTTATCAAGGGCCTTCAGAGAGGCGTTGTCTTGCCCCGCAATACGAACTAATTATAAAAATGATTGATCACCCAGGTCATTACAAGGTATCGAAATAATTAAACGATATTTTTTGTTCAACACCTTGTAATAACTCCGAGCACGCAAGGATATAGCACACGTATCAATTATAACGTTCATTCCACCTCTCAATCGAGAGCGACGGGTTACGGCAAGAGTTTGGCTTAGTTCTTGATTACCTCGAGATGCACGGTTTTGATCCCCTTCCCCAAGAAGGCCGCCACAGGAGGCACCCAGGACAAGACCAACATCTGAAAGTGTCCGAGGTCATCCAAGTCAGTGGGACGCCAGCCAGTGGCATAAGAGTCAGTAACGCGGATCCTGAACTGCTGCATCAATACGATAACTTCTACCACACCACCAAGAGCCTGTTGGTGCTCTTTCAGATCATGGGGGTAATGCCAATCGAAAGGGACATTGGCAAAACTACTTACAGGTGAGTTATTGTCGGTTTAACGTCCAAGAGAAGTCCATTTTGCTTGGTTTCAGGTGGACATCAGCTACGAACATTTGGGCTTATTTCGTGTACATAGTAGAGACTATATTCGTCACTATAGTCTTCAAGGAACGCCTTGAGTTGGTGCTTTTGCCAGGAAAAAGATTTGACGAATACATCTACGCTATAATATTCCTGAGCATTTTGATCCCACACTTCTTGCTGCCCATTGGAGCTTGGACGAATGGGCATGAAGTCGCCAAGTTCAAAAACATGTGGACCAAGTTTCAAGTAAGTACTGTGCCCCGTGAGGTATGAAAATGAGCCACTTTCATTTTCTAGTACAAATATTTCACGGTAACAGGGACCCCAGTGGTATTCCACAACCTAACCCTCATCTCCTACTCGCTCTGCGTTCTATCATGGGTGATTGGCATCGTGGTTATGCTGGCTCAATACTATCTTCAACCAGACATGCTACTGTGGCACACTTTCGGTTACTACCACATCTTGGCGATGTTGAACTGTCTCTGTTCCCTGTGGTTCATCAACTGCACCGCGAAGGGGAGAGTGGCGGGGTGGCTGGCGGAGAACCTCCACAATGCCTTGCAGTCTGCTGATGCCGCCAATAAGCTGGCTGAGTATAGGGATTTGTGGGTGGATTTGTCACATATGATGCAGCAGTTGGGTAAGACGTGTCAGACAGTACCTCTTATTCAATATACAAGTTTTCCAGCACTACTACACTTTAACGTATTTTTACAGGTACAGCATATAGCGGCTTATACGGCATGTACTGTGTCTTAATTCTGCTGACGACCATCGTGGCCAGCTATGGTTGTTTGACAGAAATCCTGGACCACGGTCTGTCCTTCAAGGAAGCGGGATTGTTCCTCATCTCTTTCTACTGCATGTCTCTACTGTACATTATCTGCAACCAGGCTCATTACGCCTCCTCGAAGATGGGTCCCGAGTTTAAGGAAAGACTGTTGAATGTCAACTTAGGTAAAAGAATTTAAAGAAATTGCTTTGTCAAACAGAACGTCTCGGCAGAGTCCTCTGAAAGGCCTTTTGTTGTTGCAGCTGCAGTAGACAGTAGGACCAGACAAGAAGTAAACATGTTTTTGACCGCCATCGATAAGAATCCTCCAGTTATGACCTTGAATGGCTACGCGAACGTAAACAGAAAATTGATATCGTCGGTAAGTATTCACCTCTGTGAATGCCAGTTGTCTTCTCAGCAGAAACATATATTTGATATGATAAAACAACTGGTACCAGTACCATTATTACTACAATCGGAAACTATTCCACACTCCAACGATCCACAATTTCATACCAAAATACAAATTATATACGAAAGAGCTCCCATCTGATATTGGCGAATGCCTCTTTCTATTCATATCACTCATTGTTTGCCGTGTGTGGCGATTTTATCGCGTTATTGGCTTTTGATTAGCGAGGCACGTTCTATTTGAGCACTTAATTAGGACTGTTTAATCAGTTGGCAGGCCTGACACAGAATTTTAATCGGGCGGCTAGATGACTTAATCTAATTATATTTAAACCCGAGGTGGTAATGCTGCTAGCGTAGCAAATTGATAGGAGATAATGGCCTTTTCACATTTTAAGGCATCGTTTTAAAGCTGCTACGTCCTGTTGAGCGCATGACAAATTATAACGTGCTATTTCTATAACCAAAATGACGTAATACATCAAATAACTTGGTATGTAATTAATAAAATCTTGACTCAAATTTAACATCAGCGCAAACCACGAATAATGGCTAATAACCTCTTTAGTTTGTGACAGTTGCGTAAAGATATGAAGATGAGTCAATTATAACTGAAACAAAACGAAGAAGTCTTACGTTGGATCCTTGTGGTACACCTGAATTAAGTAAATGTGGACTGTACTAAAAAGTAAAGAAAAAACGAACGATTTTATAGGTTGAATTTGTTGCTATTTAATAGTCATTTACACAGGGTGTATCGAAATTGTTTGGCCTAACTTTAATGGCATCAACACATATTAACAAAAATATACTTGCCTATAAGTATTGGACCATATTTTTTTCGACGCAAACGTAAATCAGAACAGTTACATAGAGATGTTGGAAATCCTTTTTAATGTCTGCTCTGGATGATATAAATTTACAGGACAGAAAAAATTTGTATTTTCAACATGTTAGTAAGATAAGATAGAAAATAGAAAATAATGTCGATCTTTTTTGTTGTTTGCCTAATGATATAAAAAATGCTTTACTTTTGTAGTCATATATGTCTTTTATTTTGTTCTTTGTTATTTGTAAGTTTGTACTATTTCTTTTTCTCTATTTTTTCAGAGTTAATTTTTCTCTCTTTATATAAAAAGTTATTTTTATATTTTATTACTAGATTTAACATATCCTGTTATAGGGCATCGCCTGTTGGATACGTATTTTAAATAAATAACTAAATAAATGACGATTGTCCTGCACACAGTGCAATTTGTGTAAGAAACTGGTTAGATCAGCATTTCCACAATACATGAATAGGACATTTTGGTCCTATAAGATGGCCTGCACACTCCCCAGACATAACCCCTCTTGATTTCTTTTTATGGGGATACTTGAAGCAATATCCCATGATTTACAAGATAATTTAAACCTTTTAAAGGAAAAATAGAAGCAATAGGCGACATAAACGAGTATACAATTCACTGGTTTATAAAAACTTTAGACTACCATTAACATTAGAAACATCTTCTTTCAGTAACATTTTTAAATTCCTCTCAAAAAACCAATACTTTTGGCACAAATTCACGTTTCCTTATTTTCTAACCACCCTATATGTCATTTTGAAAGTCTGAGTATGGCAAATGACTTTTCACGACAAGAAAAGCTTTTAATGAAGAATGACTTTTCCCCTTAAAATGCGAAATAAGGACAATTACAAGTATAGTTAAGTCCATTCGGGAACACACTGTATACATTTCATGGTGTTTTTTTTTCAAAATCAATCATAATCAAAGAATAATACACTTATCAAGTTAAAACAGTCCAAAAATAAGATTTCCAGCAACTTCTACATGCAAAATCCAATACTAACAACAAAATCATGCTTAACCATGAAATATTGAAAACAGTTGAACCCCTGTTGCAGACGGTGACATCCATGGCCACCTATTTAGTCATGCTAATGCAGTTCCGGTTGTCGCTGATGAGAAACGCCGCTATTGCAGCCCGACGCTCCGCAGCGGCGAACGCGACGTCCTTTGGGAACGCCACAGGACATTGAAGGATAGCTGATTCAGCAGCAAAAAGTGCACAGACGGTGCATTGTTATCCTGGCTGGAATCATCGTTATTTTCCGGCGACATTTGCAAATAATGGAGATGTAGTGTTAGGAAAGTAGGCGGAGTTTTTTTGTAATAAATCTCGAAGGATTCACACCCTGATTTAACACTGGGTGATTTTAGTTAGACTCCTGAAATTACTGGGATTGATTCCTTATATTGGGAAAAAATATGTTTTAATGTGTAAGCTTTATATTTAGGATGTTACTTTTTTACATAAAAAAGAGATTCCGCACTTTGGCTGCACGCCACTGAATCTGAAGATTAGTAAGTGAAGCTTCGAAACTCTCGGAAATCCCAACCAAGGACACACTTTCATACAATAGAGGACTTTACATCGTATGATGATTTTCATTTCGTGCGTATGATTCGCGGCTTATTTTTGTTGCTGTTTTGTGTTTTTCGGGATTAATTTAAGGTATAAACGAGTATCTAGCACTATGCAGCTGCTAAGATGGTTGAATATGAAATAAGACTAAAAACATATCATACTTTGTCTAGAATCCTATAACTTTTTATTAGTAAGACAAGGGTTTAATTTCCGTTCAAAAAACTAATTATAACTCGAGTCTTAATTAGATTTAAAAAATATATTCTCCCATATAAACTATAGGACCCCAATTTAAAGAAGTATTGGCTCTAGTTCTCGACAGTTTTAATTCTCGAGGGTCCATATTCCACATTTTCATTAAAAACCTACTTCTGATAATATTTATTACCCTTTTTAACGGGATATTGACTAAGTTATTGTTATTAAATTGACAGAAATGCTGGTGGTACTCAACTGCATGTGCAAGTATGGAAATTAACGTCAAAATGTATAAGAAACGAAAAAACAACTGGAATTATCTACATTGTAACTCGCTATGGGTGTAACAAATCTGCTTTAAAATAAATAACGAAAGCATTAATAACAATTACATAGTATTTACTTAATAAATTGTAATTAAGCCATTAATCTTAGTAATAGCTAGCATTTATTGTAATTTATAGCGGCTGTATTTTGTAAAAACTTGGCTCTCAGTATAAAATATGGGTTTAATATTATTTCAGTTGTTCGCATGCTATAATCTCATTATAATTCTGGGATTATCCTAAATATACTAGTAACATTAATATTAGTAACACGAAACAAGTCATTTGATTCTATTACTTGAATAAAATAATTTGTCAACCAGTGAAGCAAACTATGATAGAAACATTATTTAGCTGCTTTCTTTTCTTTGTACTGTCGTAGTACAAGCTCCGAAAACTCACTCTTTAGACCAGGAAAATCAGCTGGAAAATAACCATTTCGAGACTTTTTGTTTCGGCAATTAAACTATTCAACTTATTGATTCCAGATCTCGTGCGAGTTATTAGACAGTGATGAGGAATGAGAGGATGCGATGCCAAAACGTTCTGGTAATAATAACCCAGTTTATAAATGTTTAATTCAAAAGTCATAAATAAACTTCTTCTGTTTCGTAGGTCTTTTGAAGACGGAAAAAAAGTACTTTACTGTTTTCTCGTGGTTATGAACGAAACAAAGTTATAAGCGAAAAACGTGAATTTACATAAAAATTATACAATTAACCTGCCTGTAAACAATCTTCCCCCCATTTTTATGACTGTGGAAACTAATATGTTATTGTACATAATATTTAGCATCTATAGTGATAAATTCAGCTTGCCGAAACAAAAAGTCGCGAAATGGTCATTTCTCAGCTTATTTTCCTGGGCTATTATTTGGTAGTAACCAGGGACGGATACCTGGACGGTACACTAGTACACTCCAAATGATTTTGCATTGTTTGTAGCTATCGCTATTTCTTTTATTGATTGTAAAATGACAAAGAAATTTCAATAAACGTCATATTTTTTTTATAAAATCGAAACTGTTAAGTTTCCTGTGTTGCCAAAGGATATTTGTTAAATTTGAACAGACTACACCCCCTGATTGCAGCAATTCCCACAGAAAATTATAAACGCATGGACGAGGAAGCGAATACAAACCCATACGGCCTTTAATTACGGCAACGCCATGTGTGGCAAACACATTGGTAATAACCCACCACTGTATGCTCGAATAACTATTTAATAACTTGATAATTCAGCCGCCAATCAAGATAATTTCTGCTGTGAATGAGCTGTTGTTAGGAATACGCTGAAGTACGCATTCCGGGCAAATTTGAATATATGCTAAATTGTTGTGTTACGCAGTTCAACTGAGGCAATTGATTTTTATGGGGAATCGCTGGCAATTGGTTTGGAAGGACGACGGATTTGTTTGGCTGGAAAGTAACATGGAATCTCCAAAATCAGCGAGATTAAAATAAATGTGCATTTAGTTTTAAAAATAATATTATCAGTAGGCTTAGTGCGGCGCGGTGTTTAACAGGACCGTAGTCAAATTACGAATGAAAATATTAATATGTTTAGATAAAATATGTCGCAACATAGTACTGTTACCAAAAACCAAGGCTAAGTGGAAGATAAAATACCTATATAAAGGTAAATGACACCACTTACCCGATAAACATTAGTGTTTAAAAATACAATACAAATTTATGGTATTGCAATTTCAAGAGGATTCAATTTTCGCTCAACTTCCCAATTGGAGACATGAAGCCAATCGCAACCAAAGTAGAGATCTTTGTCTGGACCACGAAAAGCTGCAAAATAATATTTTTGGCCATGTTTCAAAAATTTCAGCCGACGTTTTTTACGAAGGTTCCAGCCACCCGCAAACACTAAAGGCGGAATAGGCGCCGACGAAGCCTGCAGCAATAGCAAATTTACCTCCTTTTCGGATTTCGGAAAATAAAAACTTCTCTGAAATATGTGAAATTCATACGGGGACTGCAATACAATATTACAGCATCACGTCAAACTACAAATTTCAGAATACTACAATCCAAAGATGGGCAAATTCCAAAGGAGGCCAATTTTCCAAATCTACGGCGGACTCGCTATAGGACCTCTGCTGCGCGATCAAGGAAGGCGATTGAACGTCGACTATGGTACCTTGCAGTTCAGTAACCAGAATCGTAATCTGGCTAGAATGTGCAGTAGGTACCACATAAAATTTAAAGCTGCATTATGTAAAGCTCTTTGCAAATCAAACATTATTTATTGTAAATCAATATTTTTCAATAAATTTAGATTTTCAATAATTCAGAACATTGTTAAATATTTTCAGGAATTTTTGCGAGCCCCAACCACCTTGGTGAATGTCCTAAGAAATAAATGCTTCCGAATTAGCATTAATACTATTTAATCTCATCTAGTTAATCAATAAATGGTTTTACGTCAATGATGAGATAATTTAGCTTGGTGTACCGCAGGGTTCCAATACTGGACCAATATTATTCTTGATTTTTATTAACGACACTATTTTTTGTCGGCTGACAAATGTGTTTTATTTGCCGACGACACATTTAATTACATCACAGAAGAATTCTTCACGATTAAAATTTTTTCAGAACAGATAAAAATATAAATTTAAAGAAAAATAACGTGTAAAATATTATTTGTTAAAAATGTCATAATATCAAATAGATCTACAAAATTGTTTTTTCTTGAGATCTTTGCAGATTTTGTAGTGAATTTTGCTAGAGCTAAGCTTTTTAAATTGCATTTTTAAATATGTCTATACATTTTGGTGAGTGTCCACTTCCTCGAAATATACGTTTCCTTAGAAATTCGAACTGATTTTAGTTGTCGTCCCTTTCATGTGTTATTGTTAGTATAGATACAAATGAAAAAAAAATTTTCAAATAATATACAAGATAAAATGGAACGATTTCTGTTATAAATTAGAAGAGTACACAAATATTATTTAATCGAATACATAACAGGTTATTTACATATTTAAGAAATTAATACTCTGGAAGCAGACTTATTGATTACAGATGCCTGTAATTTTATCTACAACTTGGTATTAATAAAACATATGTCCCGAGACCTGTTAATTACCTTCGGACCTGGGTGGTTTCGATAAATCACCTGCGTATACCTACAGGTTTATGGCGTGGAATTTTCATTCTGGGCGTCGAAAACTTTTACGCTTTCTTAATTTAGAGCCTCACTAATTTAACTGACTCACACTGAGACGTAGGCGGGGCTATGGGAGGCTTTTAGTGTTTTATTAAATCTTAGAAACGATTTGAGAACAGGTGGTTTGTTTATTATGATGATTGTTTTAAACAGTAACAATTCAAGCTTCACTAGATGTAGACATAGCTTTAGCTTATACCGGGAGCATGGTAAGTATTGTAAAAACAATATTTTTTTCCATATTAAATTTTTTTATGAAAAAATATGGATTTTTACGAAATAAACAGTTTCAATTTTAAAAAAAGAAATAAAAGATGTAAAATTTAATCATTAATTGATTTTAGCAAAAAAATTTAGATGACTGAAAGAAAAATTGCAGCGCGCAGTGGTTTGAACTCTTGAGGATTTAAAAAATCATATATTTTTTTAATTTCTGAAATCATCCCTTAACTTCTAGCCACCCTAACTCTGTTCATTTTAATTGTAAAAGAAAAAGTCAATAGACCATTTTTATGTAGAATTTTATGCTCTACAACTTTTATAGAAAACTTTTTTCTCGCTCTTATCTCTTCCGAGTTATCTTGAAAAATCTCTTTATTTTATCTTTTTTCAGTCACTTACTGTTAGTATACAAGTTTAACAGGAATTGAGGAGTACCCTTTATGTCAGAAATATGGAGTCGAGGAGGACACCTCTGTCCACCTTCTGGGACACTGTGAAGCCTTTGGGAGGTTAAGACATAAAGTCTTTGGTGCTGAAAAGCTGCAAGAACCTTTCATCCAGGCTGAGGCTGTCCCTTTCACTGCTACCACTACCATTGTTATTATATACTGTTCAGAATGTAGTAATGCACCGTGATATTCCTAATTCAATTATCGTTGTTTAATTGTGACAGTTGTTTTCA